CGGGGAGGGGGGGGCCTCGAGCCCCCCCCCCCCCCCACCACCCCCTGTCTGGTATGAATTGGGGGGGAACCTCACGCTTTTTTTTGTTTTTCTCTTCTGCAGACTGTATAAAAAAATATATATATTTTTTTAATGTCACTTTGCTGCAACGGATATTCGTCCACAAACAAAATTTTGTACAGACTACCGCTAACGAATTTAATCCGACATTTTCGTTTTTGGAAATTCGGCTTCGTTTTCATTCGTTATTTATTATTCGGAGATTCGGATACATCCAAATCTCCAAATAACGAAAATTCGTCCGAAAAAGGAATGTTTCCGAAACGAATCGCACATGTCTATGGATTAAACACACATTTTGAAGCGTTGACATCTATAATAATCCTGTTACCTTTCTGCTTTATTTTTTATAAAGGAGGACTTCAGTGGCTTCCAGTATTCTAAATTTAATTTTCTATTTCAAACTATAATATGTAATTGAAAAATAAGTGACTGGAAAAACATTGCATTTCGTATCCATCCAGTCTTTATTCTAGTACTAGTCATGTTACATGCACATAACCAGCTCCCACATTACCTGTTATGTGTTGCATGAGCGGTCCTTGAGAAATCTGTGAATTAAGGTGACCAGATTTTTAAAATGAAATCCGGGAAAAAAATTTTTTTTATTGGCAAATGGTAAAAAAACTATTTTATTAGCATATTTCCCTGAAATGATATATGCAGTGTATTTGGTATGTGTGGTATATGGAGTGACTGTATAATATATACAGTATCTCACAGAAGTGAGTACACCCCTCACATTTTTGTAAATATTTTATTATATCATTTCATGTGATGACACAGGAGAAATGACACTTTGTTACAATGTAAAGTAGTGAGTGTACAGCTTGTATATCAGTGTACATTTGCCGTCCCCTCAAAATAACTCAACACACTGCCATTAATGTCTAAACCGCTGGCAACAAAGTGAGTACACCCCTAAGTGAAAATGTCCAAATTGGGCCCAAAGTGTCAATATTTTGTGTGGCCACCATTATTTTCCAGCACTGCCTTAACCCTCTTGGGCATGGAGTTCACCAGAGCTTCACAGGTTGCCACTGGAGTCCTCTTCCACTCCTCCATGGCGACATGGAGCTGGTGGATGTTAGAGACCTTGCACTCCTCCACCTTCCGTTTGAGGATGCCCCACATATGCTCAATAGGGTTTAGGCCTGGAGACATGCTTGGTCAGTCCATCACCTTTACACTCAGCTTCTTTAGCAAGGCAGTGGTCGTCTTGGAGGTGTGTTTGGGGTTGTTATCATGCAGGAATACTGCCCTGCGGCCCAGTCTCCAAAGGGAGGGGATCATGCTCTGCTTCAGTGTGTCACAGTACATGTTGGCATCCATGGTTCCCTCAATGAACTGAAGCTCCCCAGTGCCGGCAGCACTCATGCAGCTCCAGACCATGACACTAGTACTAATACTGGTGACTGGTACTTTGCCCTCTTCCTGCTTTTTGTGAGCACAGCTTTCAAAGCTCAGACCCACTTTATGAGACGGTATACATGCCTGCAGCCCTCTAGGTCAATCTACTACTAGATGAATACATGAAGAAAAAAAAATTGAAAGTGTAAGCTTGTAAAATCATGAAAATTGTATAAAACATTACTAAGATATTACGATAATGACTCAAACAATAGAAAATCGATCACACTTCCCTTTCGCTGTCAGAGCCTTATGCCTCATAGAGCTGGCAGCAAGCGCCTGTAAACAGACTCCAGGTGGCTGTAGCTGCTGGGAGTCTGTTTACCTGTGTAAATCCGACTGTTGGCTCTACACTGGAAGCAATTCTGGTGGCTGAAAAGCTGCCAAATCGCTTCCCGGGGCCCCTAAACAGAACTTCCTCCAGCCAGACAACCCCCCGCCCTGCTTCCTGGGCTCCACTGCCCCTTCTGCAGGCATGGGACTGGCTTCTTGGGTGTCAGTAGGAAGCAGGGAGAAAGTCTGGCGAACATTCGTTCACTGATATCCTCCCCACTAAGGTCTTGTTTACACCAAATACAGAGCAGATCTGCATGAGTTTCTGCACATGCAGTGCAGTGGGTTGTGCCGTGTTTTGATGCGTTCCGGGCCGTTTTTGGTTAAAACATTTTATTTTAAGTTTAAAATGGGCTTCCTGGCCAGGCCATTTTTCAGTATTCAGCGCTGCGGTACTTTGACTGACATTTATTCCGTCATGCAACGCTTTACTGAAATTAATTTTGTACAATTTTTTGGGGACACATAGATTTCTTTTGGTGGTATTTAATCACCACTGGGGTTTTTATTTTTTACTATATAATGAAAAAAGTACAGAAAATTTTGGAAAAAAACTGTTTTCCCTACGTTATGTTATAAAACAATTATTATTACCCAAATTTTTGGCAAAATAGAAAAGACAGGGTCAAGTCGGGGAAATAGACACCAAACATGTCAAGCTTTAAAATTGCGTGCGCCCGCGAACTCGCAAAAACTACCATACCCAAAATTGGCCACAGGCGACGCTTTAAAAGCTTTTACCGCTCATCAGTTTAGTGTTATCAGTGATTGATGGCCCTAGAATTATTGCTCTCACTGTGACGTTCGCGGCGA